AACCTCCATCGAGAATGCCACATGATATGCGAGAATGTCACTTGAAATGGTAATGACAAAATACTAACAATTTCGTAAAGAAACATGACATTCTCAATATGTGAGAATGTCACTTGATATGCGAGAATCCTACTTGAAATGCATAATGACACAATATTGACAATTACATATAGAAACATGACATTCTTAGTATGACATTTTCAAATATTGTAATGACATAAAAGTGACATTTTTTCAAATAACCAATAATTCTCAGATTCTCTGATTCAAATTTCAAAAAGTGACATTTTTTGAGTCATTGGTCAGGGCATTTTGATATATCCGATTACTTGTTCTTTGTAGAAATCTAGCTTTTCATTTGAAACTTTAAAATTCAAATTTAAATTTTCATTTAGAATTTGATTGATATAAGATTAACAAAAAAACAAAAAGCAGAGAACCAGAACAGAGCTAGAAGAGGAGGAAAAGGAAAAGAGGGTTACCTGGCTTCCCTGGAGGAATTGAGTGGCTAGTAACCAGTCGGAAGATCATAGCTCAATCCACAAATATTTTTGGGCCAGAGAAATTGAGCAGCTAGTAACTGTCATGTGAACTTGTCATGAGGTCAAAGGGAAGAATATCGCAACTCCCAAATCGGGAAGATGCCGATCGTAGATCTAGTTTCAATATGCTTGTCTGAGGCGGTGATTTTTGGTGAATAGGGGGGGGGGGGGCAAAATCGTAATCTGGAGTCCTATTTAAGGAATAATAAAATTATACTCCTATTTATGAATTTTGCCAATGTTTTAGTTCCATTTTAGGCATTTCTTATTAATCTAATGAATGACATTCTAAATATCCTTTTAATAGTTGATTCTCCATAATTTGACTTAACTAATAATTTGAGTGCAACACAAGTAACCTTAACACCTTTAAGGATGTTTTCTTTTGGACTGTTTTCAGTCTCAGATCAGACCAGACTTAAACAGACCAGACCAGACTTAAACAGACCAGACCAGACCATACCTGAATTTCTTAGTTATAAAATACACAGAGACCAGACGTTTACCAGACCAGACCAGACTTAAACAGACCAGACCAGACCAGCAAATTTCAGTCCAAAAGAAAACATTCTAAATATGCGAACGAACCAGTGTATTGGACCCACGAGCAACTTCATAGACTCGTAATCCTAGACTCCTAGAAAATACTGTGATCGAGTTGCGAATTGACGAGAGAAAATTGTTCAAACTGGGACTATAACATACGTTTCTTTCAAAAATATGGTCATATATTTAGTTTTTCCTAAATAGGTCTAATTAATTATTCACGTAGTTCACTCACACAACCAGTGCGGTCCTTTGGTGACGAGGTAATCTGTGGTGGCCCCAAAACATTCCGGCGGCGGGCCGGCGGCGCAAAATTCTGGCTGCGGTGGTGGCTGAAATCCTGGCAGTCCGTGAGAGAATTGAATTAGGATGGCGGTCCGGTGGCTTGGGCAGCAGGGGCACCAACTTTAATTTATAAGGATATTTTTATTCAATCACAAATAAAAATTCTCATTTAAAAATTGTAAACTACTTGATTCAATTTTTGGAAATGAATTACTACGTATGTTTTAGTAAATTCATAGTGTGTATATATGAGTAAAAAAGAAAGTATGGGGATGATTTTATTTGTATCAAATTATTTATTTACATTGAATAGGTTACCAAAACTCCAAAAGCATGAGCCATGTAACATCAAATGATTTGAGTGTTTTAAAAAATGTTTAGTAGTTCTATTGAAGCCCATTACAATTATAATGTGACATACTTTCTAGGTTTCTATGCTCGTTCCTAATGTTTTTTCCAAAGAAAAAATGTTCGTTTTTAATGTTATTGCTTTAGTGCACGTATTGATAAAACAAGTAATAATTATAAATTCATGAATAAAATAAAGAGTGGTAATAAAAATGTGACCTCTCAAGTCTAGTGATTGCAATAATAATTTCGATCATGGTAATTCATATTTATTTTTTATATTCAAGTGATCATAAGATGGATACGATCCAATCGGTTTCGTGCGGTTTCGTGTTGAGACTTGTTGGTCTTTGCCAAAATATTGGGAGATCTTGGACGGACCTGTTATTACCCGGTCCCAAACCGGCCGGTCTAGTCCCGGTCCCTGTTTCACATTTTTCCCGAATTGGCTAATAATTTAATAGTATAAAATTTCACCTTATTGTACTCGAATCTCAATTACAACTTTTAATTTTTCAATCACTTTATTAATAATTATGCCAAGTCAAAGTGAGACACATAAACTGGGACGGAGGCAATTACAACAATCGTTGAAATCAGAATGTATATGACTTGTTCCGCCATTGTTGGTAAAATAAAAAAACATTGCTTCTTTGTCCTTCCAGCATTTGAGAATGTCATATTCTACGTCTTCTTCATACAATGTGACTACTTCAATAAAATATGAGCACTATTTCAAATATGACTAGCTGTTGAGGTTTATTCCGTCAACTACATATTTGTTTATTCCTTCCACTCCAATACTGGTTTCGTATGAAATATAATAAAAAATTATGAAATTTGATATATTTTATGTAACAACTGGAATAAAAAATTTGACTACTTTATTATACTAGTTAAAACACTTTATTATACTGGTAAAAACATTAATTAACATGTGTGTGATATTTAAATAAAAAATGTGACTACTTAAATGTGATTAATATTTAAGCTAAGTGTGCTTTGTTTAAATGTTGAGGGCTAACGGGGTCATCCCTAAGTAACCATGACACTACACTCATAGGATATTTGAGTTTGGAGATCTAGTGAGAGCTTGAAAACATTGTTTCACCACACTACACTATATTATATCAATTGAAAAAATATCTATTGAATTTTGTTTGGAGAGCTTGAAATCTAACAGCTTTTCCGTTCTTCCAACTGTGTAGTCGCCAAAGATTTTACAGATAAACTTGAGACATTATTTTACTTGCGTCTTTGGATAGAACTTGAAAATAAAGTATAAATGCATTAAACAACTTCAAAAAGGAAACAACTTTATTACAAGAATGAGGCATGTAATTAAGATAAGAGTAGGATAATGACAAAGCAAAAGGAGGGTACAACCCAAAAGCTTTTAAGAAACCTTTCATTCCCCTCGATGGATTATCGACTCAGAGGCTTTTTAATTAATCATATGACGAGGTTGAAAAGTGACATCCCACATTTATAATGTAAATCAGGAGAACATTTTAAGATTCTCCAAACGCAACCATGGATGGCTCTCGGTCTGATTTGGCCTTCTGATTGATTATTTATGGCGTTCTGAATTTGCCTTTTTAGATAGAAGTTTAATTATTATTATTTTTGGCTAAGCTAATAATTAATTAGCTAGGAATTAGGGTGACACATAAAGATGCGTGGAATAGGAGATATGGTGCCTGAGTGCCTGACTCGTAAAAAACAGTGCACAAAAGTTGTAACTTATCTTAAATTTTTCCTCTAATATTACAAAAATAACTTTAATGAATAAGGACATAACTACTTTTAAAATATTTCAAAGAAGTGACCAAATATATATATATATATATATATCGAGCACGCGAAGTCGCGAACGTGCTCGCTACGGAGCACGTTGGTGTGATGATGGCCCAGATTATCCCACATTTTTAAATGAGTGAATCCTGACCATTAATCATGCCAACGTGCTCCGTAGTGAGCACATTAACATGCTTCATATATTTACTCGATCAAATATCACTATCGGTACATGTTACAGTTAGGGACGAATTGAGTCATGGCAAGCGATAGTTTTCCGGAAATTTTTACCTTTTGCATTATTTAACGTAACATTTCCAGTGACTTTCCATAAATTCCTATAGGCAGTTGCGTGCACTGGCCGAGTGAGAATATGAGATGCCCATATTTATTCTGTCCATTCGCCATTTGTTACTCCAATTCCATGTTCAAATAAGAGTCTTTTTTTTTTACAAAGAAGCGAGCATTAATTCCATTATTTCCACATACGTGCGGCAAAAATATCTTGAACTTTTCCTTTAATGTTCTTTCATCCATTGTGCTTTTAATCTTTTATCCATTGTTCAAGGTCCATTCACACCAACTAAACTACAAAGTTTGATCTTTTTTTATTCGCCACAAATGCTTGTCTCACTCTATTCCTGCTTTATTCCTTCCCATCAACAAAACATGCCCTGTTCAAATAATGTGTAATTTTACTGGTTGGCCTCAACCTAAGCTCAACTCCAACATTACATAGGGTGATAGGGGAAAGAACTATTAATACCAAACAGCATTAATAAGGGTCAATGGTCTAAAAGAACTTATAAGAAAATCATTTCCAGAATCAATGGATTCATTGAAGATGTTGAAGTATGAGCCTTTGATGAAGACTGAGCTACATATATTTGATAATACCACCCACTAACAAACAACAGACACTGGTTAGATTATTTCTCAGAAGAAGATTACTGAAACACCCATTGTCAAGCATCCCACTGCCACCCAAGGGCTTAAGCGTTCACCTGTCCAGTAAAAAACAGAACCCAATCAATGAAGAAACACAAATGCACGTCACTCTCAATTTTGCAGTCTTTGGAAATGAATGATGTTTTGTTTATAACAGAGCATTGATAATAGGATTATAATGCTACACATCCGTGCACTTTTCTCCCCTATACAAACCATACTCCCTGATTTGAGACTGGCTTTGGTGGAGGCCCCGCCTTTCTTAGTAACTTTTTTGGTTTATCACCCAACTAAAATTGCTGATAAAATAAAACAGCCGGCAGAAAAAATCTTAAATTAGAATATTTGGTTTAGTACAAGATATACATGTTTGTAAGGCTAAGAGAGCTAAGGGCCCCAATAGTAGGAGTTAGAAGCTTTAATCTTGTTGGGTATAAAGAAAGGCTTCTTTATGCAAAGGTACATATTCTCATGTCTATCATGCACCCCATTTATATATAATCTCTTCTCTATGCCACTAATGAACCAATGCAACTACCCTCCTCTTAATGAGTTCTTAATTAGTTCTTTTCTTTCTTCTTGATGTCTATCCCACAAATTTTCTTCTCCGTTTTGCTGTTATTATCTGTGACAGGCTCGTATCAGAGTGCCAGACACAACCAGTCTGAGTTCTTTGATCTCATGAAGAAGTCCCTGAAAGGGGACTTCATGGCTAATTGGGACGGAAAACCTCTTTGCAACTATTCAGGGATCAGATGCGATGACCATGGTGATGTTTTCCAGATTGATATCTTTGGGCGGTCATTATTTGGCCGGTTCCCAGAAGATGTCTGTACTTATTTGCCAAAGCTGCGATTCCTTCGCCTCGGCCGCAATCATTTCCATGGAAGTCACTTCCCTGCCAGCATCACCAACTGCTCTGTCCTAGAAGAGCTAAACATGACCCGCACATATGTAACAGGCACATTGCCGGACCTGACGCCTATGCAAGCTTTGAGGTCGCTTGATCTGTCCTACAACCTCTTTACAGGTGCGTTTCCTATGTCGGCAATCACCAACCTCAGCAATATCCAAGCTCTCAACTTTAATGAGAATGGCGGTTTTGACCCCTGGCAACTCCCTGCTAACCTATCTGGGCTGAGAAAGCTCAAGTACATGGTCTTAACGACTTGCAATTTGCATGGAAAGATTCCAGCGTCAATAGGGGAGATCACGCATTTGGTGGACCTTGAATTGAGTGATAATGCTATGGTGGGGAAGATTCCTGTCGAGTTGGGGATGTTAAGGAATCTTGAAATGCTTGAGCTTTATTACAACCAATTTGAGGGCGAAATTCCAGAGGAACTAGGAAACCTGACTAATCTCGTAGACTTGGATCTGTCTGGGAACAGGTTGACAGGTATAATCCCAGACTCCATTTCTAAGCTTCCGCATTTACAGGTCCTACAAGTGTACAACAATACTCTCTCTGGAAAATTTCCTTCTCACCTAGCTAACTCCACAACCTTAAGAATCTTGTCTCTTTACACCAATTATCTGTCCGGGGAAATCCCAGAAAACTTTGGGACATCATCAGCTCTGGTTGTGTTAGACTTGTCAGAGAATCAATTCTCTGGAAAGCTACCACCACATCTGTGTAGCAGAGGTCAGTTGAAGTACATGCTTTTACTTCAGAATTTTTTCTCAGGAGAACTGCCGGCAACTTATGGTAAGTGTCAGGTTCTTGTCCGGTTTAGAGTGAATAACAATTTACTGGATGGTCAGATACCTGAAATAATATTTGGTCTTCCCCGAGCTTCCATCATTGACCTGAGTTATAATCGGTTGAATGGTTCGATACCAACCACAATCAAGAACGCCAAGAACTTGTCAGAACTGTTCATTCAGGGCAATAGAATATCAGGCTTGCTTCCACGTGAGATCTCCAGGGCTATCAACCTGGTGAAGATTGATGTCAGCAAAAATCTTCTTTCAGGTCCGATACCAAATGAAATTGCATACCTGAAAAGGCTCAATGAGCTAAATCTGCATGGAAACAGGTTCAACTCTTCCATCCCCGAGACATTATCTTCACTGAAATCATTGATCTATCTGGATTTGTCGAACAATCTTTTGTCAGGAGGAATTCCACAAAGTCTTGCTGAACTGCTACCGAATCCAATGAACTTCTCAAACAATATGCTCTCAGGTTCTATTCCTTTATCCTTCATCAAGGGAGGTGTATTGGATTACTTTACTGGCAATCCTGGACTATGTCTCCAGCACGACTACCCCTATCCTAGCACGTCACTGATCGCCAAGTTCCGACCCTGCTCACAATCTCACAATCTCAAAATAACAAAAATCATTTCAGAGGTAGTTGGGGGGACTGCAGTGTGCTTTGTCATTTTCGGAATCATCTCTTTTCTAAAGCAATGGTTCTGCAAAAGAAGAGACATTGCATGCCAAGAAGATCAGAAACTGTCATCTTCATTTTTCTCCTACGATGTCAAGAGTTTCCACACGCTCAACTTCGAGGAACGGGAGGTTTTCCAAGGAGTGATTGAGCGGAACAAAGTGGGAGAGGGAGGATCGGGGACGGTGTATAAAGTGAGGCTGAGCAACGGAGAAACCATAGCTGTGAAGAAGCTTCGAAGCCAGAATGGTGTGATTCTGGATAGGGAATTAAAAACAGAAGTTGAGACTCTAGGCAGTATACGCCACAAGAACATTGTGAAGCTGTATTGCTACTTCTCTGGCCTGGCTTGTAGCTTGTTGGTTTACGAATACATGCCAAACGGGGACCTAGGTGAGGCTCTCCATGGAGGAAGTGTCACTTTAGATTGGCCGATTCGCCACCAGATTGCCCTTGGGATTGCACACGGTTTGGCTTATCTACATCATGATCTTCAACCCCCAATTGTACACAGGGACATCAAACCCACTAACATCCTGCTAGACGTTGATTATCAGCCCAAAGTTGCAGATTTCGGAATTGCCAAAGTTTTGCAAGCAAGAGGAGGCAAGGATTCAATTTCTACAGTCATTGCTGGGACATATGGTTACCTGGCACCAGGTAGCCACATAATTCTACCCACTCATTCTTTACATTTAATATGATCATTACTTTTTCTTTTCTATTATTTCCCCTTATTACGGATTCACATCCTATATTAGAATATGCATACTCTGCCAAGGCAACCACGAAGTATGACGTTTACAGTTTCGGGGTGGTGCTGATGGAGCTGATAACAGGGAAGAAGCCACTGGAAGCAGAATTCGGAGAAAACAAGAATATTGTATACTGGGTTTCAAGAAAGGTGGAGACAAGGGAAGGAGCATATGATTTGTTGGACAAGCGAGTCTCCAATTCATTCAAGGAATGTATGATTAAGGCACTCCGTATAGCCGTGCATTGCACATACAGGACACCTGCCCTACGCCCCACCATGAATGAAGTTGTCCAGCATTTGATGGAAATCTCTAATGGTATGATCACTCAACCTTAGAGCTTCAATAATCAATCTGTGATTACTGCAACTCGGATTTGGCATAGATATCCACTTTGTTTTCCCTTTTAATGGATTATATCAGTGAACTCAACACGCAGTATAGAGAGGTATAGCAGAGCAGAGCGGCACCCGGCACTATTAGAGCCTCCGTAGCGGAGCGTTTGGCTGTAGCGCGAATAGTGGGCGCTGTTGCGGGCGCTATAGATTTCTGAGTTGTCTGAGCTAGGGATAAAGAATTTTGGGGTAATTTTGGTGTTTATATTTTTAAAGGGGTGAATTAGGCTTTTTAGAATAAAAAGTAATGCCACTAAAACCCTTCCAAGTATGTAAAGTCCATCAAAACAGAAAACCTTAGTCATCTCTTTTGTGCATTCGGTGACCAGAGTCATGGCTCAAAAACTAAACATCAAACCAGAAAATCTTTGACAACTAGAGACCTTGCTTCTTCAACTACTTCAACACTTCTTAATTATCTACCACTAGCCTAGGAGCATGTTAGTATGGAGCCTACTGCCTTGTTAAAGACCGCAGGGAGATAAACCTTACTCCTGTTTAGAAGTGGAATGGTTAGAAATATTTTAATATGAATATCACGGAGTTTGAGATTTGAGTAATATTTCTATTTTGTAGATTTGATGTGTGTGGCGTGTGTCTTATATGTTATTATATGCATACATATAATCTTGTATTCTGCATGAAAGATATCCAACGAGCGGCCATCCTGCTATAAGCCTATAGCACTACCGGATTAGGCTGCTCTGCTATCAAATTATATCCAAATTATACATCTTGACTGGATTATTTAGTACTACCACAACATCACTAACATATAATTGTTCGGGTATCATAGTGTAACACAGACTAGTTTATTCTCATTAAATTAAATATATAAATATGGGATGACATACATATGCATGCTCATATATTACTTCTCTATGTACACAGTGCAGTTAAAAAAATTTATTCCACATAATGTGCATAAATGTGTATAAATATGGACTAAGTTTGGTAATACTCAATGTCCTTTTCATAATAAAGTCAGATCAACAATTCAATTAAACCATACAATACAGATATACTTTGTTTGTTCCATCACTAAGTTCGGTTATTTTACTTTTTCCACACTAAAAGAAAGTTAGCAAACAAATTATTGGTCCAGTCTTTCATACAAAAAAAAAAGTTGGTGCTCATGGCTACTAGGTCTACTTTTGGTCCAAGCCTTTCATTTTTAAAATTATAATGCATGTGTACAACTATGGATTTGTTGTCTCTTTTGGTCTTTCCATGACACTTATTAGAAGATAATGAAAGGGATATTATCACATTTTGAGTATTTTGATCATCGTGGCCGGAAGGACCAAAGGGGCAAGAAATCTATAGACGTGCACCATAAGTGTAAAACCGTGAAAGGCAAGGACCAAAAGTGAGATTAACAAGAGTCGTAGGACCGAAAGGTGAAATTTTCTAATCAGACTAATGCACAATCTATTGGCGATTCTTTTAAGAGCAGCACCAACATGCAACAACCTTACCTATCCTAGCTGCCTTCCAGAAGAATCCACGAAACCTGAAATATTTTATCTCGTCAAAATATATCTAGGGGGAGAGGGGGTATAAATAAACTCGCGGACTAAAAGTATCAATATTCATTATTAATAACCTAGTTTCAAGAAGACTTACCCAGTTTTCTGCTCAAGAATTGCTGGAAACTGCATCTTCAGATATGTGCATGCACAGATCCCTAATAGCACTACTGTGAGAAAAGAATGGAAATTGAAAAGTGCAGACTGCAAATTCAACAAATCGAGATATCAGTATCTAGCAAAGTAGTCTGACTGAAATTATTCATCTACAATGCATATCCAGCTTACCATATTTTAACTTTCTCTGTGCTAACTAACACAATTGTCCTCCAGTACTGAAACAAACAAGGCAACCATTAGTTTTCATCAACATTCAGTAACTACAAAACACAAAAGAATAACAAATTATAAAACAGAAAATCCAATCATGTTTGAACTGTTGTAGAAGTCAACATCAGCTGCTCAAGTTTTGTAATCGTCAGGTGCAACACTCAAAACTAGCCCAGCAAGACACCCAAATTTATCTAACCAACACCAGGAACTTTGGACATACTTCCTATAATCCTATGCTTAATTTGATGTCTGCAGTATTATCACAGCCAAATAGCCAATGATATGATATTTAATATATATGCAGTTCAGCCAAAACAGACCACGACTGTGAAGAATTTCAAGTGTTCGGAAACAGAGTATGCTATCAGTGTGGTGGGAGATGAAGAGAAGAAGATCATAAGAAATAAAGATGCAAATTCCACCCCTAGACAAGATAAGGAGGGGACCGAGCTAGTCAAACTCTGAGAAATTAACTTCATCATTGATGATACTACTAATGAATACAAGCCCTCAATTTTTGGTCAACAGGATCGAGAATCATACGTAGTAGTATTTATAAGTCAGTGCCAATTTTTTTAGGTAATCCACTGTGGTGTTTAAGGTCCTTATCATGTTATGCCTTTTTTGTTGCCTGGTCTTTACTGAATACCATGGAAGATTTCTCTCAAAGTGTATGGGCGCCTATTTGAGCCCGAAGTTTTCCGCACACTGTCCAAGATTATTAGTATGGCAAAACAACATAAAAAAAAAAATCAAAACAATCTGCCGTGCAACAGAATCTTATTACTTGTTTGAAGTCATTTTGTTGAGGATGGGATAATGTTTCAAACATCTTCTGTAGATACCTCTCCGCAAAACGGAAGATTCAAATGTAAGAGCTGTCACATTTTATATGTTGCCAAGGTGTACCTTGCCCAATCAGCATAAAAAAAGCATTTAAGTATGTAACTGAAGATCACTATCAATGTCCATCCCTACTCTTGGTCACGTTATCGGGCAAAAGAGACTCTACTGTGACTGGACAAGAAACGGGATAGTGTCCATCCCTACTATCAATAATACTCACAACTCTTGTTCTGTAGTGTTTAGTTTAAAGGAAGCTTCCATTTAACCATGGACTAAAAAGAAAGGTTGGGATTGATTTATTTGTGAGTTATTTTAGGGGTCATAATAATAGGACTGCGTTTCATTTACTTGTGATATTGTAAACATGTTACGATAAAATAGGAGGGCCATATTTTATTCATAAGATAAATTGCGAACAAGGTGGCACATATAACATATTGCTATTAGTATTGTTCTATTGTTTGTTCTGGGTCAAGTTCGGAGTGGCTTTCCCATGATCCATTGTAGTTTATCTTTAGTATTCTTCTTTTGGATTAATGAAATCAATAAAGGTTGAAAATGGCATCATTTTTGGGATATTAAATGTAAGTCATTTTTTGAATTTCAGTTATGTATGTATTTAGTTGGCCTTTTTGTGAAATGGAATATAAGTAGTGTCTATATGTGTAGATTTGTAAGCTTCCGTACCCCTTTATATAGATCCAATACAAAAAGTTTTGATTGATCTATCAGGCCAATGCCGCATTTTGAGCTGCGGAACAGAGGCATTTTCATCTGATGGACTAATGCGTTAAGCATCAGCCTCAGCGCATAGTGAGCAGTAAGCCTCAGCCCTGAAGACATGTAATCCAATTTTAAATGTGTAAATGAAGTATATATGGAATTAATAACATAAGTCACTATTGGGTTGGCCTACTAATGTAGTATCGCATAATACTACTCCCTCCGTCCCATTTTGGTTGTCCTACTTTCCCTTTTGGGTTGTCCCAAAATGAATGTCTTATTTCTTTTTTTGGCAAGAAATATGTGGTCTTTATCATTTTACTTTATTCTACTCAAATCTCAACCACAACTTTTACTTTTCAACCACTTTATTAATAACCATGCCAAATTGAAAGTGGACAACCAATATGGGACGGAGATAGTATTAAACTTCAGAGCTGGTAGCCTGGTAGCACACACTCAACATGGTCAAACAGGAAAAAAAATAGCGCCTCAATATGAACTAAATGTCAGGCAGCAGCACAACCTGATCAGTAGAGCATTCAACACTAAAAAAACAAGAATAAAACCGAGCAAATGGAAGGTAGCAACAGCATCCAGCATCACATATATCTCGGAGTGAAATTTAAATGACCCTCTTACAAGAGATAGGACATTACCTTCCACCTGAGAGTGTGAAATAAGGGATATAGAAAAAAAAAATTGTATCATTCACTATTCAGTAATAACTTCAATATAAATACAATCTTGATATAATGATATGCAACTATAACTTTTTTTCAAAAAATATTTTTCTAATACTAACTTGCTAATTTATCTATGAAAAGCATTTTATAACATATGCTTCTACAAAATCTACATACATCAATATTATCCACCTAATGAAGCTCTTGTTGTAACATGGAACAAAAAAAGTATCAATTTCTAATTTCGAGTCCACCATTTCACCTTCTAAGGTGGTGGAGGGAACGTTCACTGACCAAAGAAACAATAACAAGAATGAAGGGTAGGTTCTCCTGTAAGGAAGCACCCATGCTGATTACTAAAGTATATACTATATATTACCTCCTCCATCCGGCAAAGACTTACAAATATATTTATCTAAGATAATGTTTTATTTTGACTTTCTAAATAGTCCTTACTTTATGTTAAATCAAGCAAAAAGTAAGCAAAATTTAAGAGTAGTTGTTAGTTTGTGACATTGCCTATTATAAAGTTTCTTTCTAAAGAAACAGGAACTTCATTTTCGGGATGGAGGTAGTATCTTTTTGGTACATCCCCGAGGAACTGCTAAAGTATCAGTCAGATGATTATGGTTTGCACTACTTTTTAGTCTTTTAATCTTTAATTGTTTCCAATAAAATGTATAATGGGAGTTGTGCTATAACAATAATAATAGATATCGTGTGCTCTCACTCTATAAGTTCAACTAAAATGCACACTTTTGTGGCAAAAATTGAAATCTAACTAAACAAAAATAATAATCAAACAGTAATATTCAAAGATAAAATTCAGATATTTCAATGTACTACACACTCTTAATGCTTAAATATACCGAGACAAAACACCAGACTTATAAAAACACAAAATATACAGCCATGAAGGTTATTATAAATATAAAATATACATATTGAAAAATTGCAAAATTAGTACTCACTCCGTTCCAAAATGATGGTCTTGTTTCCTTTTTGGTAAGAAACTAAAAGTGGATTATCATTTATACCCCTACTTTCCCGATGACCAATAAAAGTAAAAGGAAGAACCGTACAATAAAATAAGGTTCTTTAGTAATTAATAATTAAAAATGCATGCACTTATCTGAAACATAAAAATGAGATTTGTAGAGTGGTGCTTAACTCAGATCTTCTAAAGTAGAGGACTTATAAAAAATATGTAGGGTGATGCTCGAGAATAATATACATCTAAAATTTCATTGATGATAAACACATCTAAAATTGGGTTCATATCTGGAAAATGAAACAAATTAATTAGTAATAGTTTGTAATGGGAGTTGAAGCAGGGAATATGAAGATAGCGGCATGGAGCATAGATAATGAAATACCTGGAATTGAATCACATTGAATCGTGGAATCCGAAGGAGAGAAAGCTGGGGTGTGATGGGTTGGGCTTCAGTCCAAATGCAGATGGTTATGTTGTCCCAATATGTTAATTAGGCCAATATTACTCTCCGGGTACTTCATGAATTGTTCCTATTAGGCCTGGGATCGGTTCGGTTTCTAGGCCAAATATGTGGAACCGTTTGAAAATATGAAATTTTACTAACGGTTCGGTTCTTATAAATTATTTTATAGAACCGATAAGGAACCGAACCGTTCTTAACGGTTCGGTTCTTGTCATTTAACGGTTCCTAGTCTTCGAAAAAATTCTTACAAATCATGATGATGGAGTATATGGCCCAGGAACCCCCGGCCCATAGACTCCTACTTCTCCTACACAAGTCCATTGAGCCCAGGAAACAACTCAGGCCCAAATACGACGGCCCAAGGCCCGGAATACACACTGGGGTGCCTTCGGCCTCCTTGGCCGAAGGCTCCAGAACTCACAGAACCGCCATATTCGACCATGCGAAGCTACTGGGAGAAATTGACAGAAAACAGGAAGCCCTCGGCTCAACCAAGCCTTCGGCTACACAGGGGGCCTTCGGCCATACATGAAGCCCTCGGCTACATAAGGAGCCGACGGCTATACAAGGAGCCTTCGGCTGAACTAGCTCAATCATCGAAGATTCCTTTTAGAGACAGCCAACCACCGCATTTAATGCCACGTCGCATCCGCCAACCGCATTCAATGCGGTGAACGTACCACTGCCGGTGCCACCAGGCTGATGTGACCCTTCGGCCGTTGGATTCCTGACACGTGTCCTTTCATCGCATTTATTGCTGCTATAAATAGCAGCCCATTTCTCCTTGTAATCGACACGATCTACATCCCAACTCTACATCTCGAGTTCATTTAATAAAATCGACTCTCTCTCCTCCTATTTACTCTGACATCTCTCTAAGTTATTCCCGCAATAACCCCTCGGATAAGATACCCCCCGGGTAGACTATCCATCATTTGGTGCTCTCGTTGAGAGGTCTGAACTATCAAGTAAGAAACCCTCCCCCTCTACCAGACACAAACCCTTACCAAAAATGGGAAGAACCACCCGTGCCCAATCCAAGACCCTTGAGGAAAACCACGTAGCCCCCGGCGAAACTAACGGGGCTGAGGCCTCCAACAGGCTCTTAGTACCCGAGGGTGGTGTCATCCTCGAATTAGAGCAAGCCACCGCTGATCTACGTCAGCAGCTGCAGAAGAACACCCCTGATGCCCGCATTGGCCTTGATAATCGAAGGAGGGATCGGAGTGAGAACCAAGTTCCCCCTCCGGCCCCGGCCATCGATCTTCAGGCTGCCTTTGCGGCCTTTGTTCAGAACATGGCTCTCAATTCCGGAGCCCTCGCCTCTCAGGCACCCCTCCAGCCCCACGCTGGGGGGAATATTATTCAATTACCACCGCTCCCTCCTCTGTTCACCAATCCTCCCCCGGGGATTGGAAACGCCGAGGGGGTCATGGCTCAGGACACCGCCTCCCAAGAGGCCCAATCCAGGGATAAACGTCCCTTGATGAAGGAGAAACCTCGGACCTCCGCACTTGAGAGGCTTGGGGGAGCTCCCATGCGCCGAGGGGTCCAAGACCGCCTCGGCAAACAGGAATTCAGCAGGCCTCAGGAAAGTGGAGCCTCCGCTTCGGGTGCCGAGGGCGTGCCTCCCCCCCGGAGCAAAGGCAAAGCCCTCCTCCACGCCGATGACGCCAGGCACCAAATCAATCAGGCGCAATCCTTCCGGGCCAACTCCCAAGGGGTTGCCCCGAAGGATCCCAAGGACGAAATTATCGAGGCCCTCCTCCGCCAACTTGAGGAGAATCGTCAGGCACCGCCGACGGCTTCCACAGCTAGGCCAGATCCGGAGTACGCTGACCTCAGGGCACAGGTGGAGGAAATGAAACGTAAACTTGCCGAAGGCTCAGGCGAGCCCCTCATTCAACTCCGTACTAGAACACCCTTCACCCCAAGGGTGTTGGCGGCCAAAATCCCCCACAAATATCGGGGGCAACCCATCAAGCCGTATGAGGGGAAGACAGATCCCCAGGAGCACTATAGCCGCTATCAAAACAGCATGATGATGATGGGGGCATCGGATGAATACTTATGCCGTTGGTTCCTTTCCACCTTGGAGGGACCCGCGTATGAGTGGTTCAACCGATTGCCCGAAGGCAGCATTGATTCGTGGCAAGAACTTGCCCACCGCTTCCTCACACAGTTTGCCGGGAGGCACCGCTCAAAGAAACACTTCTCCCACCTTCTGAATGTGAGACAACAGAAGGAGGAAACCCTTCGGAGTTTCCTGGAACGCTGGAGGCAGGCCTCCCTCGAGGTCGAGGGCGCCGATGACAGGACCCTGATGGCCCTCTTCCACACCGTCCTCCGCAATGGTAACTTCTCCCGGAGCCTTATTACTGATCCCCCCCGCGATTATACAAAGGCCCTTCAGCGGGGGGACCGATACGCTGAAGCGGAGGAGATCGAGAAGGACCGCCGCAACACGGACCCCCCTCAGAAGAATGAAGGCAGGAATCGGCCCGGAGGGCCTCCCCCTCCGACCAACCGAGAGCCACAGTACAACGATCGCTCCCGAGGTGGCCAAGCCAGACCCGGGGGCGGTTACAAGAATAATCCGAAGGCATGGGCGCAACCCGTCCTCCTTGAGCACCCACGCACTCCCTTGACGCATCCCGTCAGCGTCATTCTTGACCATGCAGAAGAGCGGGGGCTCGTTGAGCGAGACTCCCGTACACCCCTCGAGATTTATGCCATCGGCCCTGATGAGCCCTACTGCCGCTTCCACCGCCACCACGGACACAAAACCGACGACTGCCATCAGCTGAAGAACGCCATCGAGAGGCTGATACAGGCGGGCCACTTGTCCCAATTTATCAGGGGCCCTCCGCCCCAGGGTCCCCCTCATCATCAAGGCCCTCCGCCGAAGGCAAACAAGTGGGTGAACCCCAACACCATCCCCTTGGGAAACCCACAAGGGAAGAAACGTGAGATCGGCGGCCTCGATGACGAGGGAGAAGGCTCCCATCAACAATACAAGCGCCATATTCATATGATCAACGGCGGCAACACCGGAGGCGATTCAGCAAGCCAAAGGAAGAAGTGGGCACAGTCCCTTTACATTGGGGAGGTCAATCACATGCCCCCTACTAAAAGGCAGAGGGCAGATCCCATCTTCTTCACAGATGCGGACCTCCCCTCGGGCTCCCTGCCGCATAGGGATGCCCTCGTCATCCGCACTGAGATCAATGACGCCATCATCCACCGGACTTACGTCGACACGGGGAGTTCTGTCAACGTTATGTACCTCAGCACTTTTCAAGAGTTGGGACTCGACAGAGGGTCCCTCCGACACATCAACACCCCCCTCTCCGGATTTACGGGGGACAGCATAGACGCCGAAGGCGTCATCACCCTCGCGGTTGAATTCGGCGACGGATCCCATAGAGCCAAGCTCGAAGTGGAATTCGTCGTCGTCAACCTCGACTGCGCACACAACATCATCCTCGGCCGGCCCGCCCTCGAGGATTTGGAGGCCGTCATCTCCATGAGGCACCTCTGCCTCAAGTTCCCCACACCCACCGGCATCGGCTATTCGAGGGGGAACCAGAAACTCTCCAGGGCCTGCTACCTTCAGCTCACCAAGAAGGTTAGTAAAACAGAGTTACGTATAGACACCATCACCACCAAGGCCTTGGAGGAGGAAGAAAGTAGGCCGAGGGCTGAGCCTGCCGAGGAGACTGAAGACCTGATACTCAATCCGGCCAAGCCGGAGAGAGTCCTGAAGATCGGAGCCAAGCTCCCCGAAGACCTGAAGGCTGGCATCACCGAGGCCCTCCGCGCCTACTCCATTGTTTTTGCATGGGGGCCGGAGGATATGCCAGGAATCGACCGAAGGGTTATCACCCACCGCCTAGCGGTGGACCCTTCGGCCAAACCAGTACAACAACGAAGAAGGCCCCTCTCGGCCGAGAGAAGGGAGTTCGTGAAGAAGGAGGTATCTATGCTCCTCTCCATCAAACACATTAAGGAGGTGAAATATCCTTCTTGGTTGGCAAACGTTGTCCTCGCACAGAAGCCTCCTACCTTCCGCATGTGCGTGGACTACACTGATCTGAATAAGGCGTGCCCTATGGACCCCTTCCCTCTGCCGAACATCGATCAACTTGTGGATGAGACCGCGGGATGCGAGATAATGTCCTTCCTCGACGCATTCCGCGGGTATCATCAAATCTACATGCATGAGGAAGACGCTGAAAAAACTGCCTTCATGACACCCGAAGGCATCTTCTGCTATCTTGTGATGGCCTTCGGCCTCAAAAATTCAGGCGCCACCTACACACGCATGGTGGCTAGGGTCTTTCAAGCTGTCCTAGGACGCACCATGGAGGCTTACGTTGACGATATGATCGTCAAAAGTAAGAAGGCAAGCACTCACGCCGACGACCTCCGGGAGATTTTTGCCATCATGCAAAAATTCAACCTCCGGCTAAATCCGAAGAAATGCACCTTCGGCGTGCAGGGAGGAAAATTCTTGGGCTACATGGTCAGCCGAAGGGGTATTGAGGCCAACCCCGAGAAGATCCAGGCCATCGTCAACATGGAGCCTCCACGCAACGTCAAAGAAGTTCAACGGCTGACGGGTCGCCTGGCGGCCCTCAACCGATTCCTCTCTAAGTCAGCCGAGAGGGCCCTCCCCTTCTTCCAAATCATGAGGAAGACAGCTGGCTTCCAATGGACATCTGAGTGTCAAGAGGCCTTCGACGAACTCAAGAAGTACCTCTCCTCTCCCCCAGTGCTCTCCAAACCGAAGGTGGGGGAGACCTTATACTTATATCTCGGTGTTAGCCCTGCGGCTATCAGCTCAGTACTAGTCCGAGAGGAAGACGGCATCCAACATGCCATCTTCTACGTCAGCAAAACCCTCCGGGAGGCCGAACTCAGGTATTCTCCCGTCGAGAAGACGGTGCTATCCATCGTTTGGACCGTCAAGAAGCTTGGCCACTACTTTCAAGCTCATCCGGTCCAAGTGCTCACTCATCAACCCC